GGCCCAGGCATCCACATTGGCCCAGGCAACAGCCCAGCCTCATATCAACTGTGAGCTGAGGCCATCCTGAATCAACCAGCCTCCACACTACCCATCACTGACCAAAGATGCATGAGGGAGTCACCCTAATCTGTTAAGCTAACCCAGACCAGAAGAACCACTCAGCCAATCCATAGATTAATGAGAAATAATAAATAATTGTGGTTTTAAATCACTAGATTCTGCGGTGCTTTGTCACACAGCAAAAGTGAACTGATACACTCTTTGTCCTCTGCCCACTGACTCTCAGGGACTTCCCAGACCAAACTCCTCCTCATCCCAAGTGTTCAAAGCCTTCTTAGAAGTTGCTACTTTAGCTTCATTTACCACAAATTTTCCACATCCTGGTCTCTGTGGTGTCCTCTTTTATTTCTTGCTGTTTCCATCCTTGAGCCTCTTATACAGTCTTCTTTCCCACCATTGCCCCCCGCTCCACCCCTGAATACCATTTCATTCTCCTTTCTCCACTTCTCAAAATTATGTTCTTCCTTCAATTCCTCACTCTGGAGTCTTCCAGGATAGTGTGTCTTGTTGTTCAAATGCCTTTGGCATTGTTGGCTCTAACTTTTCTCTAATTTGTTTTACTGGCCAAAGAAGCACTGAATTATATCTTTATCCTGCCTTGCTTTATAATGCATTGGTACATATAGTTCATTATCTACCAGGAAGTGCAGATAAGCTTGACCTCATATGTCTATACAGATCTATCAGTAGATGTCTGACGAGCATCTGGGATCTGCTGAAAAGACTGCCGTGGTTGGTTGATTAATAATGTCTGCCATTGGTTCAGACAGAAAGATTCCAGCATATCAGTCAAGATTGGCCATTTCTTCTCTAGTGCAGGGATTCTTGAACTTTTTGTCTGGTGAAGCCTATAGACCCCTTCTAAGAATACATTTTTAAATACATGAATTAAAATACATCAGGTTATAAAGGAAACCAATTATATTGAAATACTCATCAAAATTTTTTTAACAGAAAAGTATTAACATATTATTTTTAACAAAGATATATACATTTATATTGTTATTCTCTTTTTAATTTGTAGTTTGAGCAGTAACTGTCATTAAGTTTTTTACATGAAACTTGTTATCTTTTTTTTTTTTTTTTATCCTCACCTGAGGACATTTTTTCATATTTTTGCTCAGATAGAGTGGGAGGGAGAGAAAGAGAGAGAGAAACATCGACGTGAAAGGGACACATCGAGTGGTTGCCAGCCGCACGACCCAACCAGGGCCAGGGACAAACTGCAACCGAGGTATGTGCCTTTAGCGGGAACTGAACCCGGGTCTCTCTGGACTGCAGGCGGACGCTCTAACAGCTGAGCCAAACAGGCCAGGGCGAAACTTGTTATCTCTTTATGACATGGCACAGCTTGCAAGGTGTCAGTATGTTTTATTTTGTTTGGATTATTTTTATTTAACTAGGGTAGAAATATGCACAGAACTATATCCAAAACTGTCAAAACTCATAAAAGAGTATGGCAATAGCTATTAAATTATAATATCTATTTTTTTATATTCCTTCTTTTTGGACTCTATCCCAGTATTTTTAAATGTGTAATAATTATATGTGCTTCTTCCTTGATATACTACATAACAAGGTCTAGTGGAGAGGGGCTTAATAACTATGATTTTGGAGTATAAATGATCTTTCAAAATATTTATAATTATAATGTGATATGAAAATATTTGTGGCTTCTTTTGGGAACAAAGACTCAGCTGTGTAATTTGTTGCTATGTACATAATTGAGGGAAATGTTTGATTTAATTTAGAGCAAAATAGAGATGTAATCAAAACTGTGGTACTGGCATAAAGATAGACATATAGTCCAGCCCGCGTGGCTCTGTGGTTGAGTGTCAACCCATGCACTGAGAGGTTGCTGGTTTGGTTCCTGGTCAGAGCATATGCCCAGGTTGTGGGTCTGATCCCCAGTAGGTGGCATGCAGGAGGCAGCCAGTTGATGTTCTTTCTCATTAATTTTTCTGTCTCTCCCTCTTCCTTCCTCCCTCTCTCTAATATATCAACAAAGAAAAAAAAAATGTTTTTAAGTAAAAAAAAAAAAAAATAGACATATAGGCCAATGGAGTAGATTTGAGAGTCCAGAAATAAACCCCAGACATCTATTACCAATTGATTTTTTTTTTATCCTCACCTGAGGACATTTTTGCATTCATCTTTAGATAGAGCAGAAGGGAGAGAGGGAGGAAGAAAGATAGAGAGACGTCGATGTCAGAGAGACACATTGAGTGGTTGCCACCTGCACAATCCCAACCAGGGCCGAGGACAAACTGCAACTATGAATTATACAAGAGAGGAAAAGGTTTTTATGTAATTGAAGTCAGAAATGCCAAATAAGATTCAGCAATGCACTGTATGTTCTGTTTCTCCTCTTCATTCCCAACAGGGAGCAATTACTAAATAACTTTTACATTTGTAAGACTTAACAGACAAAGAATGCTTATTACTAGGATGATAAATAGTAGCTCTCTTTTTTAAAATTATCTTATTTTTTATTTTTTCTATTTATCTTCAGATAGAGTGGAGAGAGAGAAAGAGAGATGGAGAGAGAGAAACATCAGCGTGAGAGGGACATATCAACTGGCTGCCTCCCGTGTGACCCCGACCAGGGCTGGGGACTGAACCACAGCCAAGGTATGTGCCCTTGACTGGAATCGAACCTGTGACTCTTTGGGCTGCGGGCCAGTGCTCTAACCGCTGAGCCAAACCAGCAGGGCAAGATTATCTTATTTTAAAAGATTACTATACTCATGCTGAAAAGATATTATGATGAAAATATTACAAAATCAATGTATCACTAGACCAGGATTAACATCTTGGAATAATACACCATCTACTTGGACTGTTGGGTCAACATAATAATTGTAGCTAAGCAATTTCATTTACCAAAATAAAGGGAGAAAAGTCCTAAACTATATTCTGCATCAGTGTATCCCACTGCAAACCCCCACCCCTCTGTAATGGGTTGTAAGCCTGTGCCAATAAGGGAAGTCTCAGCAGTCAGCCCCCAAGAGCACTGAGGCAGATGTCTCTTCCCTGTGATGACAGCACTACCTCTTAATACCCTGCATGTTTGCGTCTCTGTTCAGAATTCCCAAGAGTTACTTGGTAGTGCCACCCAGTGTGAAGACCCCTGCAGGGGCAACATTCTCACACTACAAGCTCACTCCTAGCTGGCCTGGATTGATGGCTACCTTAGGCCAGGATAGATGTCCAGTTCTTGGGTCTAGGACTCTGGTTGGCAGGCCACTTGACACAAAGCTTGGCAGTGTATGCAGAGGAGCTCCCTGAGAAAGGACCCTGGGTTTAATGGAATCTTCTCCAGAGACTTCTTTGTGTTACTTACTACTTTTATTTAATGTCATCCCTCCCCACTTCCCACATACACACACACATATTATAGCCTTAGATGAGATGAGAAAATTGAGGCGTAGATGGGCCAAGTACTGACATCTAGCTAGTGACATCCTGGGGACAACAGCCAGAATTGCTGACTGCAAACCTGTTCCTTTTCTCACTACACCACATTGTCTGTTTGCCTATTAGTCCTCTCAGTATGGATGTTTAAATCTTTTATTTCCTAAACAGAATTATTTCACCAAATCAAATTTGTCTGGTGAAGGATATTTCTAAGGGATTGAAGGGTATTTCTAAGGAATTGAAAAGGGTTAGTGGACCCAAGTTCAACACGGCAGGGAGAAGTACCCTCATACCAACAGTTCTTGGACAGTAGCAGGATGTCTAAAAATTCAACTACATTCTGACACTATCTACCCAGAGATAGCATCAGATTCCACAGGTTAATGGTTCAGTCCTATAAGACAATATACACACACATTTACTTCAGATGCCAGCCTCAAGCTTGTTCTCTCAGTCCATGGGACGACGCTCAATCCACTGAGCCACATCAGCTGGGCATCAAGCCTATTCTCTTACCTGTGCTTCTGACCATCTGGCAATACCCCTTCCAATCAGAATGCCAATCACAAGTCCAGGTTGCTACCTGTACTTCTGACCAACTGGCTATAACTCAGTGGTTCCCACAACCCCCTCCTTGGTTTCAGTTAGTTTGCTAGAATGGTTCACAGAACTCACAGAAACATTTCTACTTACTAGTTCACTGCTTTATTACAAAAAATAACTCAGGAACAGCCAAATGCATAGGGCAATGGGTGTTTGAAGGTGCATGGAACTTCCATACTCTTCCAGATATGTCATTCTCCAGCACCTCCATGTGTTCACCAACCCAGAAGCTCTCCAAAAAAGGACCAAGGAGCTGTCCTGGGTTTTTATGGCCCCATCCTTACATAGCTTCCAAAACTCACCTCATTAACATAACAAAAGACACCTTTTTCACTCTCGACACTCAAGAAATTATAAAGGTTTCCAGAGCTGTAAGCCAACAATTGTGGACGAAAACCACACACACACAATTTATAGTCTGCTTAATTTTTCCCACATATCTTTATGTGTCCTTTGACATTAACATTTATTGAAAGCTCCAGAAATATACGATTCATAAGTTTTAAATTGAGTACTGTTTTGAGTAGTGTAAGGAAATGTCTCACCGTCCAGCCCTGGATATGAATCATCTCTTTGTCTAGCATGTCTATGCTGTACCTGTAGTACAATAAAATCTTAAGGGAGGGAAAGAGCACATTGACAATAACTTTTGTTACAGTGTATTGTTATAATTTATTTTATTTTAGTTGTTGTTAATCTCTCACTGTGCTTAATTTATAAATTAAACTTTATCATAGGTAGGTATGTATAGGGAAAAACAGTGTATATAGGGTTGGGTACTCTTCAGGAATTCACTAAGGGCCTTGGATCCATATTCCCTAGAGATAAAGAGGGACTACTATACATGTACATAGGTGATGCTATCTTGATTCTTAGTCCTTATGGCCTAATTTTTTAAATTATTTTTCCCCCCACAGTTCATCCATGAGCTCGGATTTTCCACATTACAACTTCAGGATGCCTAATATTGGATTCCAGAATCTGCCTCTCAACATATATATTGTGGTTTTTGGAACTGCTATATTTGTCTTCATCCTTAGTTTACTCTTCTGTTGCTACTTGATTAGGTAATCAATTTTCATTCTATGTTACTTTAGAATATGCTAAACAATAATAAATTAACTTTCTCTCCTTAGGTTAAAAAATTTTGTAAGTATTATAGAGGAGGAAGAAAATTTCCTCTTCACTTCTAGGTTCTTTCAACTGGTCTAATAATCAAACTGAAACGAGACAGATTAACAAGAGAAAAATAACCAAATTTAATTATATATATATATGAGAACCCCAAGTACATGGGAGAGTCAGAGACCCCCACATACATGAGAGAACCCCACATACATTTAGAGACAGAAAGTTAAAATGAGGTATATGTGGCCTTCTGAACTAAGGACAAGGTAAGGTACCTTGGGGCTTCAGAAGAGAGGAAAGTCATTTGAAGGATGATAAGAGAAGATGTTTAGTAATTGCATATTTGCCCTGCCCCATAGGTCATAAAAGTTTTTATAGTAATAACTGTTGTTATAGGCAAAACACCCAATTTAGATTCTTAAAGGAAGAAATAAAGATTTCTCTTGGGCCAGCAGAGCCTCAGTTGCCTTCAGCTCAAAATAATCTATAAGTCAATATAGCACATCTTGGGGAGGCCTGTTCTGAACCACTTCAGAATGATTAATTAGCACATTTTTAAAACTTATGGTGGCTTAACACTTGAACTTTCTATGAGTTACTTTCAATAAAACACCTTTATTCAGCCTTCAATCCTATCTGCTGGTGTTTTACTCTAAGAGAAAATTGTTCTCATTTGTTTTTCCAGATATTAGCATCTGGACCAGATACACTTCTGTCATTGTCTGCCCCGAGATTTAATCTACTTTCACAGAGATTTCAAGATTGCTTTTTGGGAGGGTGCTGCATCATTGTTAACTAAAGTCATTAAGGATTAGAAAGCAACCTCCAACTAAGATCCAAGCCTTTAAACAGATTCTTGTGGTTTCTCAAGATTTTAAGTTCCCAGTTGTGTTGAACTGGGCAGGTGTTTAGATGATTGATTATCTGCATAAATCACAAAGTATTCTACCAGCTCTGTGCACATATACTGACACATGATGAAGGGTAACAAGTCACTTGAAGGAGTAATGGATTTGACCAGTAAAGATTCACAGTTGACTGACTTATAATTGTTTAAGCATTTTTCTCTTTTTAAGTATTTAATTGGGGCCTAATTTTCAAAGCCAAAACTCAGACTGTAAAAAATTCTATACTGTATTATTCAAAGAGCTTTATGGAGTAAAATAATAGAAAATTGAATTTTATTATACAGCTATACATCTAACAGTTTTTAGTGTTTGTACAGTATATGATTATGGTTAAGATAAATACCGTCATCAAATATCTTTCAGCAACAATTCATTATTGCCCCCAGTGTTCCGGGGCACTTATTTACTGACGGTCAAAAATTTGAATGAATTTAGTGTGTAGTTTCTAATTTTCCGACAAGTGAATTAAGAATATTCTTCTGAAGTTTTCTTTGAAAGTTTTCACAGAATGTAATCTCCCCTTGTATGTCATAGATATGTTGGCTGCCTATGATTTTTAGGTCTTGCTCAGAGAAATAAATACTTAGCTAATATAACTATAGCATTTAGTAAATACCTTTTTAAAATCTGTTTATTTCAAGAAATTTTCTTTTTCTAACATTTCTTTAATAATAATTTGATAAGCCCGGCCGGTGTGGCTCAATGGATTGAATGTCATCCCATGGACTGAGAGGTCCCAGTTTGATTCCTGGTCAGGGCACATGCCCAGGTTGCAGGCTCGATCCCCAGTAAGGGGCATGCAGGAAGCAGTCGATCAGTGTTTCTCTGTTACATTGATGTTTCTATTTCCTCTCCCTTTAACAAAAAAATCAATAAAAATATATTTTAAAAAATAATAGTATGGTAAATGTTATGTAAGTATTCAGCTTTTTTTTAAATATAGGGAATTAGCCATAATTAAACAGGACCTCATAGCATTAAAATATTTTCCTTTGTCCGGCCAGTGTGGCTCAGTGGTTGAGTGTCGACCCATGCACTAAGAGGTCACCAGTTGGATTGGTGGTCAGGACACATGCCCAGGTTGTGGGCCCAATCTTCAGTGGAGGGCATGCAGGAGGCAGCCGATCGATGTTCTCTCTCATTGATGTTTCTGTCTCTCTCTCCCTGTCACTTCCTCTTTCTCTAAAATTAATAAAGGAGAAAAAAAAAGTGGGTTTTTTTTTTTCAATAAAAATATGTTCCTTTTTTCAGATCTACTAAATTTTTTGTAAATTTCACTACAAATGCTGGCTTAATTCAAATTTGTGAATTTAATATTTGAAACCAAATTATTTTTTTAAAGAAGACAAAAATACTTTTGAAGGTTCACTAAGAAAGGGTTATCATATATAAAATATTCTAAAATGTATAGCTCATAGTATAGTTTTATTACTGTGTCAAAGAATTAAGCCTATGATTTTTGTTTGTTGTTTGTTTTAAGAAACATACTAGTATACCGATTGTGATTCTGGGTAAATTTTTTGAGAAATAAGTTATGAAATACTATTTTACTTCATTGTATTTCTCTCATTTATCAAGCAAATAAGTAAAGAGATAAAGAAAAAATGATAGCAGTTGTTTTCATGCATTTTTGTACTTCATTTTATCCTTTTTGTAGCCTTTTTTATTATTCATTTAACAGCAAATAAGTGAGGATCTGCTATACTAAAATAAAATTATCTTTTTAAATCAGAAAAGCAAGTCATATTTAAAGATTTCTAAACTTTATTTGCAAGTCATTAATACCATTTTGAAAATGTAATCATGATGTAAGGAGTATTTCTTTCTGATGATCCTAGTTTCTTACTTTTAATTCTTCAAAGGGTAAGTTTGGATTTAACAAGTCATTTATAAGTTTATCAGGATATTAATGGATTCGGCTTCTCTAAAATTACCCAGGCCCATTTTTTAATATAACTTAAGTTCTCCAGCACCTTCCTAAGGGGCTCTTCCTGTTCTCATGCAGAGAGATCCCTCCAGTCACAGCCAGACTCATCAGAATCATTGGAGGAACACAGCTTAGATCCAAACTAGACACCCACTACCAACTACAATCTTACACAACATTTTAGTATAAAATCTGCTGTCACCCGGCTGGTGTGGCTCACTGGTTGAACATTGACCCATGCACCAAGAGGTTGCTGGTTCGATTCCCAGTCAGGGCACACGCCCAGGTTGTGGGCCAAATCCCCAGTGTGGGGCATGCAGGAGGCGGCCAATCGATGTTCTCTCTCATCGATGTTTCTGTCTCCCTCTCTCCCTCTCCCTTCCTTTCTCCCTCTGTCTAAAATCAATAAAGAAAAAAAAAATCTGCTGCTCATGACAGGGCTATGAATAGATCACTACTGGAACACAAAAGAAGGACATCTTACCTTACTAGGAGTGACCCTATTTTATAATAAAGCATATAATATTCTAATTTATGTTTGTTACTTATCTCTCTCCCCAGAAATCTTTGTCTATTTTATTTGCTGTGTCCTAAACACCCAAAACTGAACAGTGCCTGGCACAATATTGCTACTCAGAAATGTTTGTTGGGTAAATGAAAGTATGGTGTTCCTAGTAAGAAGTCATTAGTTACACATAGAACTGAAAAATCAAGAAGTAGCAACACAAGAAAGGTATATTGAGAGATATGGAAGTAGATATTCAAAATAGTGAGCTAAAGGGGGAAAATTGTTATCTCTGGGTAAGAAAGGTGAAGACTGCCGATTTTTGTTGTTACTAACCCTGTAGAATTAACTACATATAACATTGAAATATGTGCATATATAATTTTGATAAAATTTAAAACTAAGAATAGAAGGAAAATATTGAGTTACCTGATAGATATTATAAGGTCTTGAGCCAAGATAATGACAGTAGGGCTAGAGAATGTGTTATGGATGGTTGTGAGAAATAATTGGGAGGTGAAAATGAACAAAATTTGGTGACTGGGCATTAAGGACAAGAAAAGGATGAGCTTAGAATATTTTCTGGACTTCTGGCTTAGCAGCTGGATGAATAGCAAGCTCTTCACAGAGGTAGAAAATGGATGGCCAAGTTGGGGTGAAAGGATGAAAGTTTGTTTCACACTTAGGAGAACTGAGTTCCCTGTGTAACAGTCAAGATGTTTAGTACAGCCCTGGCCGGTTTGGCTCAGCGGTTAGAGCGTCGACCTGCGGTCCTGAGAGACCCGGGTTCGGTTCCCGCTAAGGGCACGTACCTCGGTTGCAGTTTGTCCCCGGCCCTGGTCGGTCGTGCGGGTGGCAGCCACTCGATGTGTCCCTTTCACATCGATGTTTCTCTCTCTCTCTCTCTCTCTTCCTCTCTCTCCCTCCCACTCTACCTGAACAAAAAAATGGAAAAATGTCCTCGGGTGAGGATAAAAAAAAAAAAAAAAAAGATGTTTAGTACATATATAAATAGGTCTAAAGTGTATGAGATGTCTGGTCTGAAAATAGAGTCATTTAATAATAGGTGGAAGCTGAAGCCAAGAGTGTCCCCTGGAGAGAATGTGTATAGTGAAATAAAATGGGACCAGGACAGAATCCTAGGGAAACATTAATATTTTAGAAGAGCCGATAGCCCTGACCAGGTAGTTCAGGTGGTTGAAATGTCATCCCATATGCCAAGGTTGCAGGTTTGATCCCCAGTCAGGGCACATACAAGAAGCAACCAATGAATGAATAAATAAGTCAACGTCTGTCTGTCTGTCTGTCAATCTCTCGCTCTCTCTCAAATTAATTTTTTTTTTTAAAGAACCCTTAAAAGAGACTAGGAAGGGGTAGCAGGAGAAAGAAGAAAATCATGAGAGAGGTGCTCCACAAGTTAGGTTTCAGTGGATTGAATCCGTTGTGTCACCTGCTCCCAGGAAGGTCTAGTAAGAAGAATTAAAAAGTTCCCACATAGTTGACTTTCTAGCAACATAGGTTTTAACTGCGTGGGTCCACTTGTATGCAGATATTTTTCAATAAATACTGTAAATGTATTTTCTGTCATTTTCTTAATAA